CGTCCTGTTCGATATGGGACTCATAGCGACGTATACAACGCGTGTAAAATACATTGTTTATTTACATGAAATTCGAACACGCGCTGCGCAACGACCACGGCCCTTTAAGTTCTTCCGCAGTAACTAACAAACCTTCATCAACTTCAAACAATTTCTGAAGCAACTTTCGGTAATCAATTCGTTACATCATAATATTAGTGACTGACAGTGAGCTCTCCAGGTGGAATGATTTTGTTGGCATCTCGCGTGAAAAATGGAATCTCCAACTATCACGTTTAGTTATTTTGATGAGAGTCGGTCTTTAGGAAAAAAAAAAATGTATGTGTCTGTAACTTGAGGCACCCGATTTCCTTCGTGTTTGTGTCTATAGAATGTAAATTTCCTACGACTAAATTACAAATTGCATAACGCTAGTAGATCACTATATCAATGTAGGATTGTTATGTTCTGCAAGTGTAAAAACGACAGTGGTGTGTCAGATCACTTTGGAGGGCGCACTGGCGACTGACTATTAAAATCAGATATTAAAATAAGTATTAAACTCAGTAATCGCACTGCACAAACGTAATCCGTAATGGCACAAACGAGCTTGTATTTGAGTTTCTATCTTTGAAATATGACCACAATACTATAATATTTTTTTTTCTATTTCTGATCTAATATTTCTGACTAAAACTAGTATTAGTTGGTAAGACGTGTTGATCCAGATTTGTGCTACCGTATGCAAACAGCACTGACATTGAGTGATTTTTTGTGATTTAGCTCAATTGCTCGCAATTACACAATGTTTCAATTTTATTTTATCGATTCCATTCCACGAAGTATTGAAGCGGGTAGTCGTGTTCAATATGGCCCCAGCAGGCGCCGTATACATTATATGCTATACACATTGTGTGTTTGTTTGTTTGTTTGTTACACGACGATCGCCACCGTCAACAATACGATGTACTGCCCCAAACGTATCAGATGACACATAAACAAATATATCGTATATAATAACATACTTTATCACGTGGGCACGCATTTAAAGGCATTCTAGCTTACAATAAGATACCATGACGGAGTTACAATAATTAAAGTACAATCATTTAAATCACCCACTTGTCTGATTGTCTTTAGAATCATTTCTTGTAAATTCAAAGTTTCATGAAAAAGAACGCATGCATCTTTGTTCGGGATCAGAGTGAAAAAGAGAGTGACCAAGAGAGAAAAGACATGTGTGTGTGTTTTTGAGAGAGGGAAAAACTGTGTATGTAAGATAGTGAGAGTGTGAACGCGAGAAAGGGTAAGAGAGCCTGAGTACTGGAGTGTGAAATAAAAAAAAGGATAAAAGGTACACAATTTCCATATATCACGCATCCAAAACTATCACCAATGAATTGTACGATTACTAAACACTCACCAGCGCGAAAACCGCGAAAAAATCTGTTTGATGTTGTTTTCCCGGGATTTAGCTCGTTTAACTTTAATGACAGTCATTTTCTTGAGGTCACTGTACTAATAAAAGCTACTATTAGTATTTTGAACTTCGTGGTATTTACTGTTGTTGTCTATTTTCCTGCATCCTACATGCATGGAAAGACATTTTTTTTCACAGTTATCTTAATATCATCGTGTATAATTACATTGTCTGTAAAATAAATTTATCCTTCCTAGCCATTGTTTCGGATAAATAAACTAGTTGGGTTTACTGTTATTCGACGACGGTGTGCTAGCTCGGTATTCGAATCACATATACATGTAATTTCAACAATATGGCACGTCTGGCAAACGTAAGAATTACGTGAGGCAAGCAGTTCTCGATTGATTAGATTTTGCGTATTGCTTCTTTTTACTTTAATTACATACTCAGTTTGCCACCAGGCAAATTATTCTCGAAACACAATAATGTATGTTACGTCACAAATGACGTAGCTGTTGAATACTGTTCTATAAAAGCGCATTTGCATTTCTGCCACGATTCAAACAAGAACACAGCGCAGAGGTGAGTACAGGCATTATACCTTCATTACTAGAAGTGTTTATATTGTGATATTATTCTAATGTGACAAATCGCACATAACGGATTCCATCGCGAAGTTTCAAATCATGATGTGAGTAACAGCCTTGATTCAATGTTACAAATATGTTTGTTCCCCGTGCAGTGTCATTTACATGGATGTAAATGAAAATTTATAATTATTTAATATCATTGGAGAATGAGAAGAATATAAAATTAAATAAAAAAGCGTACAGCAAAGTTAAATTAATTTTTGATTGGCAAAATATGTAGTAACACAATAATTACTATTGACAAATCGATTCCACAAATCCTTATCTCAAGAATTTTTTTAGCCACCAGTAAGTGAAATGGACTTTCAACGTCTATTTCCTAACGTTGCTTTCAGCTGGAAATCATACTATGTGCTTTCTTTTTTGACAAAAATTGTTTCAAAATCACGAGATTTCTATTGTCGTATTTTAAAGAATCTGGTTCACCCCAATTTTACTCTGTATAGAATGTCCTACATTGATTCCCATTCGTGTACTTTTTGTAAAAAGTAGGGTGAAAAACTTAATACACACACATGTTTATACATTGTAAATTTACAAATGACATTTGGACACCAGTACTGAATATTTGGGGTCAGTTTCTTAATTTTAACTGGTTTCAGCAAAATTGCGAACCACTTTTGTCTACTTACTAAGCAGAGTGCACAAAGCGCTAGGCAAGCCTAGTCCAACTTGAATTTAATAAATGTGGGAAAAAAGTCTTTTTTTAAATAAGAAAAAATAAAACATAATTGGATTGAAAAAAACATTGATGAATTAGAAAGATTTCCTATTAAAATGAATCGCCCGATAAGTAGTAATTCTCTTTTATAATTGTAAATCGATTTATTCACTCTAACTTCGTTTATACGTTATTTTTGTGTTTAATGTAAAATATTACAAAAAAAATACGTTTTCAAAAGTTATCCCATTGTTACAAACCACCTGTGAGTGGTGAATAGTTCACCACTAGTTCAGCGAATGTTAATGATTTCGTTTTATTCAACATGGAAACCAACATGTTGTGTACCATTGCATTAATTTTAAGTGATCGACACATATCAACTAATACTGTATAGGAATTGTCTTGTTTCTGGCAGCTTGTTCTTTTAACAACAAGTTGGAATCCACGAGTCGTGAGACAAATATAATTGTGTAATACGAATGACTCTTCAAATTAAACACTAAAATATGGATTTAATAATAGTAGATTGACATAAAGAACAAGCTTACTATCTGTTCAGTCATGCTTTGAGTAAGTTATTATCAACATTGTCGGTAAATGTACATCAATTGCTTCCAATGTTGTCGAAGTTGTTTTGCTACTAACAATAAAGTTAGTTTTGATACATTTGCGACGCACCCAGACTTCAAGTCGCCGCTCCACTGTCCAATCACGCACTCCGTTGACTGTGAATGTCACAGTATATAGAAGGAATATCTTTTGCTGACATAGATTAATAAATGTAGAATATTTTGTTCTGTCAATTAGAAAACAACTGACATAAACATGCAGGACTTGTATCGCAACTTAGTATCAACAACAACTAGTCCTTGTTTGTTTCAATTCTCTTGAGTGCTGACTATTTCCCGTGATGCAATGCGCAGAAGAAATAGACCCCCAATATATGAAAACAAGACATATAGTGTTTGTAAATTTCCGTGTTATCGGCAATCTCTGACGACTATATGGGGGGGGGGGCGTTGAAACGTGACTTAATAAATTTGTTTAATTAGTTCCTTTTGGTGAATTTGAGTTCCCAGGTGGTTAGCGATTTCGACATGTAGACCAGACGTTCCTCGACGGCTCATTGCACCAAAATTGATTGAATAATAATAATAATAATAATAATAATAATAATAATAATAATAATAATAATAATAATAATAATAATAATAATAATAATAATAATAATAATATTAAATAACATACGAGCACCCGGGAGTTTTCATCAACACACTTTGATGTGGGGGAAGGGGGGGGGGGATTCATCGACTTTAGTATTCGCGTTCTCTATTACGTAGAAGAAACAGTAGTTAGTTTCGTTGTTGCTTTGTATTTAAATAATTCCTTGCCCATTGTTATGTTGTTGCTTGGTAGCATTATCTTGGCTTCGCACTTATTTATTTGAACTTATATCCAGTGTTCTAGTTTTATCTTTCTTGTATATATGCTAGTTGGCTTTTGGATAGACATGATCTTGCTTTTAACAGATCAAATTTTGACAGAACTGTGGGTGGTGACTGTTTGTTGATGACAAATCATTTCGAAACTGAGTTGTTATTTGCAGACATGTTTGCATTGTTCCGTATGAATTAAACACTACACCGAATTTCTTAGTACAGGATAGTAACATACACTTAACGTTAAACACTTCGGAGAAATCACAAATTATATCCTTTAAATAACGTTGAGTTTATTTTAAATCTTTTAACATTAAACCCATTCATGGAGTCACTTATAACATATCACAACAAAAATGTAATACTCAATTTATTTAAATTATTTGCCGTGAAGGTCATTGCGTCTGATAGAGGGACTGTGGTGTGAGGGACAATAAATTATAGACGGGTTATATTCACTCACAATGCATTTGAAATCGGGGGGGGGGGTAAACGGCAATTGACTTTGAAATAATCCCCAGTATTTCCTCGCATTTTTCTCGAAGACTAAATTGCCACTGATTGGCAAACTAGCACAGTATCTTTCTGTAAAGAAGACCAAAGAGTCACTCGTGTGATACACTCTCTTACGCATACCAAAACAGAGAATAAAAGCACTTCTTCTGTATCTACTGACTTTTGACATCTACTGACATTTAACAGCCGGGATATAATTTGGTGTATTTGGTCACAATATATTTCTTGCTTGCACATTACTGCATTTCAGGTTTTTTTTCACAAGTCCTACATTGGAACAAGGAAGATACTTGAGCATAATTTTCAGCTGAAAAAAGTCTACCAAGAAGATGCTTGGAAAAAATGAGGTGAGTAATTGATAGGCACCATATTCAAATTTTAGGACACTTAAAGTGAATAATCCAATACGCAAATAAATTTACTTGTTGTTTACTCGGTAAAGAGTTGTGGATATTTGCGCAAGATATTTACTTCATCTAAATATGGCGTTGAATGTTGTACGTGTACCACGGCTGTGCGATTATATTAGTTTTTTTTTCTCAAAACAATCCAAACATAATTGATATTCAATATTTTGTATTTATTTTATAGGCTTTCAATCGTACAACGGCTCGTAGCATTAAGCTCCTATTGCTGGTTGTGTTTATTTGCATATTTATGTTGAAGAACCTAGCTGCTTCCGGTAAGACGCTTAGAATTTGAGTTATTTGTTTACGTGTCCACACTTATTAATATACGCTTATTTGAAATTACGTCACACCTAATGTGTTAGTGTTATGAATACATTTTTGTGATTGGATGAGACCCCGCTTTAAATTTCACGATACGGCCAGACGTAGCATAATGCATGGCGTGATCTTATTGAATATGTTATCATTTCTATTTTAGGAATATTATAATAACACTGAATCAGTATTTTATAGATATTAACTATAATTTTATTTTAAACCGAACTGCAATGATGGAGACTATTATGCGTTAGAGAGTTTGTAGAAGGGGTGAGTCACTTTACCAAAAAAAATGTCGGCACAGGTATGCTCGATCGTGTGTCAATAAACTTGTCGTGCCTGTGTTGTCTAGTGTTGTACGGAGTAGTTTATAGGTTTAGATCAAAAAAAGTTTGTTATTGTATGTTGGCATCAAATCGTTCAAAGTCTCCTAAAAATAAGAAAACGTACATAATTTCGACTCGGAATAAATCAGGTAAGAATTTAGATGATAATGTGCTAGTTTCAGAACCACGTATATATTACCCTAGACACGCACAGAAGGCGTCGTTGCAGTTCAATAATGTTTTCTAGATTTTCATCGTGTTTTCATTTCTGAAGACTACGGGAAAATAATTACGATATAATACAATTGCAATAATCTTTAACAAAGTTGAGTATACTGCTAGATATTGTATATTTCTGCGTCTCGTGCATATATGTCGTGAGTTGTGCAATATCTCGTGGTATATCTAGCTTCACGGAGGGGGTACTTGTGTATATAATGTAATACTGTATCGATCCGTGGTACATCGTGGCCATTCTAGGATGTAAACTCGTTCTTACAAATAAATAAATACAACATTAGTATATTAGGCCCATTTTATATGATATTTCAATCGTGTGCATGCGACGCAAAACTTAATAAATTGCCAAATATTTTGATTTTAACTATTTTCATGAGATAGCTAATTTAGTATTTTTTGGCAAATTTTTAATTCATTATCAGTATCAGTGTGTTTAAATTTCCGCGAATTAACATTATGGCATTTTACGTCTGTCAAATAACGGCTGAATAATTACGTGGAATCATTAATTACTAAGGACCTGGCGTAGAATTGGAAATTACTCCAAATAAACAATGGCTGAAGCAATGTCACATCGACCAGACACGCCCCAAAACAGATGACGAGATTTGACAGGATCGGCCAATGCGCATGCGTATAAAACAGCTGATACTAATATCCTAATTTCCTAATAACTTATTTTGCACTCGTACAATGCAAAATACATATTTGATTAGATTGGTTGGCCATCAAGTACCATCCTATGGCACCCAATTCATATATCACCAACACCATAGTACAGAGTTATGTTAACAACGAGTCAAAAATAAGACTAATATACTAAATTGTTATTTAATTAATTGTAAGGATGAGATTACATTGTGAAATGGCCTCGATGTACCACGGATCTGTATCTCACTTGAATTTCTATAATCTGTTGAAACATTTCTACTTGTATTGATACCTAATCCACAATGTATTTTCAGAAATCAATTTCGCTAAAAGGGAAGTCGAGAACAACGACGACCAGGGCGACAACGACGACAACCACTGCGAGAACGACGGAGACGGTAGGAGCTAGATTTAAATATCTTTATTTATTTTTGTTATTTTTTTCTTACACTGTGATTTGAAACTCACCACGTTGTGTCTTTGTAGATGATTCCTGTGACGTCAGCGGTAAACAACCCCATATTGTCGTGGTATTGATTGATGACGCAGGTAAGTGGCAGCGTTTAATCCAGATCTGTCACCAGCAACTAAGGCGAGTATTAGTATATATTGATCAATTTGTAAAACTTTGAAAAGTTTTATTCTAAATTGACAAAAAGGAAAATGAAAGTAAATATTTTGTTTACACACGTTACCTAAGAATTGTCAGCATACATACACCTATATTAATATCGCATATATAAGTATGTTTTTTTTTAATCTAAATTATTGTAGTACACAATATTATAATACATTTTGTTTTGTCGTAAGGTTGGAATGACGTTGGTTGGAACAATGACTTCATGCCAACACCAGTGTTGAATGAACTTGCGTATAATGGTGTTATTCTTAATAACATGTATGCACAACCACTTTGTACTCCGTAAGTATCTGATACTATGTCGATTGAATGTGCATGAGAAAGTACATGTTGTATTACTACAAATCATTTCAACTATACCACCAGATCTTTTGTTTGGGTAAGCTAACTACTATACGATATGCAGTTTGGTTCTCTTGAAATTGTGATTATTCCATGTGACCAGTTCTAAACACATGTGATTTGTAAATTGATGATATCAAACATTTACGACAAGCAATTATGTATGTTCGAATGTATCATGATTGTTTGCTTGTCTTTTATGTTAAAGGGCGGCAGTCGTCGCGCCGCGTCCTGTTCGATATGGGACTCATAGCGACATATACACGGCAACGCGTGTAAAATACATTGTTTACTTACTTGAAATTCGATTCTGTTAAACTAATGTTGCAACCAAACTTTGCTGGCAACTGTAATAAAGTTGTCATTCTGAAATGTTATCAATATAAAGACATTTTGGAATTGTTTTCTGATGTGGATGTTCAATGAAAAGTTTAGACAAACAACTGTATGAGATGATTTGAAGGATTTCAGGCATTTAAGAAAAATCGACAAAGCCACGTAACTATTATTCTCGTAGAAATTGATATCAATTTGTATAAAACTGTTTACTGATTAAAATTTACATAATCCTTTGGTGTTTAATGTCGACTAACTTGCCGATGCAGATAAACAAATATTTGATGACGTGTGTAAATTTTAAATACAGACTAATTCTTGTTTTTTTTTATAGTTCACGTATTGCGCTGTTAACTGGTAGATATCCAGCAAAAGTCGATATGCAGGTATGTAGTATGGTTATTATCGGGTGATAAGTTTTAGTTATATCCTCGGGGGCGGAAAATGGTTGCCATGCGGTGAAAATGCTCGGATGTCCGCCCGAGGATAATACAACTTTTCTGTAAATAGCGCCCTCTATTAATGAAGCGCTTGTACGAGGTAAATGGGTGACGTCACAGACGTTCAATACGTCGATATCGTTTTAACCCGCCGTCGTTCACCAATAAGATTGCGTTCTTGAGAGATTTTACTTATACTAGATGTCGAACGACTGCACAACCGAATAGAAAGGTCGATCTGAACGACAATGCCTTCACCTCATTTACGGCATGCTGACGTCACAGAAGTGTTTCGTCACTAGAGGGCGGAACTTATAGCAATGACGTATTTCTCGTCATGGTGTTAAGAAGAGTACGTGGAGTTGCATGTCCCGAACATAAATTGATTGCTCATTCAAATGCAAATGTATTTTTCTAACACAATTTAATTTCACATCGTTAAGTCTCCGAAATATGCATTTCGTAAGTTTAAACTAACGAAAATGTACTATATAACTCCTTGTTGAATTGACATAATAATTTGTGTTACAGCACTCTGTGGTTCTACCATCGCAGCCATATTATTTGCCTAGTGAATACTCTACACTGGCCAACAAACTGAAGGAGGTCGGTTACATGAACCATGTTGTTGGCAAGTACGTACCACGTGACATGATCTGATATGATAGTTTTCTTTAACAGATACATAATATATAAAAAACGTAAAGTTGCTCTTCACTGAACCACTGTTCACGTCTGGTTGATATATACAGTCGACGGTGTAATTATATTGCTTCCGCTGCTAATTTGTTTTTATAGTAATATTATTTTAAATTTTTTTTAGATGGAATATTGGTTCGTGTAATTGGACTTATACACCCCTGTGGCGTGGATTTGATTCCCATTATGGATGTTATGAAGCTACAATATCGGACTATGAAACACACATGTTGAACTGGCCGCGTAAATATACAATTTGTACACTGTAGACCTTAGATGAAAATGGCCGCCGAGATCTCATTGTGTGTGAGAGATGGAGAAATAGAGCTACGGGACTTGTTTTTATTCCTTTCTAATAATAATAATTTTCTCCAATCAATGAATCCACTTTTTTCATGATTATACAACTATCGTATTTAGAGCAGTGGACGGGATTACGGGAGAAAATCATCAAGTCACGTGGATCTCTCGATTTCAACGAGATCTCAGCCGCCATTTTTTGTCTATGGTTTTATGATTGTTTGTACAGGCAGTATACAATCATGCCAGAAAGTATACATAAGGCCAAACAAAAAAATTGTTTTGCTGCCCTCAGCGACCGACCGAAAAATATGAAATATCTGGTCGTGTTTTTTTTAATTGGCCCAAATATTAAAAACTCACCATTTTAAGCAGTAAAAAAGTGTTTACTCTAAAAATTAACGATCCCGGACCGTTGTTTTATCCACAGATTCCCCGGAGAATAAGTGGCGACTTTGAACCTCGGGTTGATCTGTATTTAAATACAAAAGACTGAAAGAAACACTTTGATTTTTGTGTTTAGTATCTTATTATTCACGACACCCTTAGTTTCCACGAGTTTAAAAAAAAAAAAAAAAATCCGACCGACCGACCTAATTTTTCAATTTTCCGACTTGAGGGCAAGATAAGTTTTTTTGGCGCTTAGAGTGTGTTTAGAATTATAGCTTACATTGTCCCGTTGATGGACTTTTTTGCCATAATGTATGTCTTTAAAGAAGCTGCGACCAACATTTGACTTTGTGTTTTGAAGACTGCTTATTATTTTCTTTAGACATTGATGTGACCTATAGCGTAGAATAAATCGAACGATGTTTTTTTGTTTTCTAGCAAATTTCTAGGATACTTTGTGTTCTGCCGAATTCCCAATGAAAATTTTGTTGAACCAGAAATGTGATTATTTTGCTTATTTTGTTTCTAAGTTCGGCCGTTTTTTCCACAAACCTAACGTACATTTTCTCGAGTTTTAAATTGATATTATTGTCTGTATACATGATGAAGTGAATGACTTTATCCGAAATATCCCGAATCAATTTCGAAAATGATCAGTATTTGTTGTATGAAACAGGGAGCGTTCCTAGACATCATGATACCATATATTGTATATTTCATCTTTGAATGTGTAGCTAACCGACAACCACCGTTATTTACTGGTATTGAATTTAGAGACAACACCGGAGTGGTCACCCACCAAAATGGAACTCACAATACGGTATATATATATACAATATCGATTGATTGATCTTTAACCTGTTTAAGGAGA